TCTCAATTTACTTTGAAAGAACTTAAAGATGTCCCTACGGAATACATACCTGGCGATAAGACAATTATTACAAAATTACAACAAAAGTATTTAACTGATATAATAATCACAAAAAAATTGGATCATTTACAATTATATCTTTCCGTGATACACAGCTTAACGTATTATCAAAAGCTTGGTACGAAAATAAAAAAAGTACTCCTGTAGCAGAACGTCTACGGATTGTAGAAGCTGCTGCGGCTATTATTAGGGAAGACATCAGATCATCTGTAGTTGAAACAAAAACGTATCCACCTCCGAATAAAATGCTAGATTGTATTAATGAAGAAATACCAAAAACATTATCACATTTTTTGGAAGAAATGATATTAAAAAATAGAAAAGGACAAGTAGATCATTTAAAAACGAAATGCACATCTATTAGCCACGCAATAATGGCTTCGATGCGAGAACGTTCATTTTCATCACAGCTACTGTTGGGCCTTTCCGTATTTCTTCACAGAAGATATGGGTCTAAAAAATTGTTGGATGTTTTATCATCTTTAGGATTTGCTGCATCATATAGTAATACCATACAGTATGAAGTTTCAGCAATTTACCATCCACAACCTCGTATTTTACCATCAGAGTCTGGTGCGTTGGTACAATATGTTGGAGACAATGCAGATATTAATGTCAGTACTCTTGACGGTAATAATACTCTTCACGTTATGGGAATGATAAAAATAATTACTCCGAAAGATGCTGTAATTTATGATGATCGCATAAAAAAATGTACAACTAAACCGAGTGCAAAAGAGTTAGCAGCAATATCACATGTATCTCTTTTAGCATATGAAAAGCCAGTTGTACCTGGGTACAGCAAGATTCAAGTCCAAAATCTACATGATGATCAAGTACTGATTGAAAAAAAATTTAATGTAGTTGATTTTTTGTGGTTATACGGAAAATGGAAGAATCTTTCACCGTTGCCAGGGTGGAATGGCTATCTTCAACAACTTACGAAAAATAATCAAAATTTTACAACTTCTCAGGTTATATTTCTACCTTTCATTGATCATCCTGCCAGTAATTTAGACACAATTTATACAACTTTACATAGTGCTATAAATATTGCCAAGTCACATCAACAAAAAACGTGCATAATTACATTTGATCAACCCCTGTACTCAAAAGCACGTGAAATGGTTGCTGCGTCAGATGCAAACTCAGACTTGTCTAAAACAGTTGTCAAACTAGGAGGATTTCATATGCTCATGTCTTTTCTTGGATGCATAGGACATGTAATGGACGGTAGTGGTCTCAAGGAAGCTTTAAGTAAAATATATGCTACAAATTCGGTCGACAAAATGTTGAATGGTCACGCTTATGCAAGAAGTATCAGAGGCCATATATTATTACGACTTGCATTATCAATAAAGATTTTTGAAGAGATGAAAATTGAAAATTGTGTGTTAGATGAGTTAATTGAACAAATAACTAGTCGCGATGTTTCCTACGAAGATGTTGAAGGATGTACGAGCAGCTCCAACTCGTTAATTGATCAATTTCAGGATAAACTAAATGAATTAAAAGCTCGAGGTCCCACGGCACAGTTATGGGTGCAATATTTTCAAATGGTATCAATAGCCCTAGATTTCATTCGCGCTGAAAGGCTGGGACTTTTTCAAGAACATTTGGATGCAGTGCGAAAAATGCTGCCCTATTTTCATGCTGGTGGTCATTTCCTATATGCGAAATCAGCTCATTTGTATCTTCAAGATATGTTAAAACTTGAGGAGACAATGGATCAACAGGCTTTTGAGAACTTTAAAAACGGATTCTTTACTGTAAAACGAACAGAAAAATTCAATTCTGGTACATGGACAGACATGGTAATCGAGCAAAGTCTGATGAAATCTATGAAGACAGAAGGAGGAGTATCTCGAGGCCGAAGTACACAAGAAAGTGTTCTATGTAAGTGGGTATATGCTATGTATGCCACGAATACAATTTGTGAAGAAATTGAACGGTTTTGTAACATTTCTTTCGATTCTGTGGACCAACATGTTGATGCTAGAGATTCACGAATAAAATGGGATGATACTGATGTAAATGAACTGGTTGGTTGGTTTACGCTTCATAATCCCTTTCCAAATACGAATCAGTTGGTATCCTTAGCTTCAGGAATCGTTGGAAATGACCAAATTAATTGTCACCGAGCCCATGAAATCGGATTGCAATCTATGGTAAAGATAACTGGTTTGAACTTCAACGAAATAAAGTTAAAACGCGTCGATAAGGTTTTACCGCTTTCAGCCATTAACAAATCTGTCAAAATTAATGATTGTAAAGTTTCTATAGATCCAATGTTACTTTTCCAGAGAATAACTGTAAGCAAAAAATTTGAAAGTAATTTACAAGAATATCTTCAGTATGAACTAAGCCCGTATCCGACATCTTTATTTGATAGTAATGGCATGAGAAAAACCACGAAAGCAACATTATATGACAATATGATGCCTGTCGTTATCGATCTTGATGAAAATAATGTAACATACATCATCGATGGTGGATTTCTTCTGCATCGCGTCGTATGGAGCAAAGACGATACTTTCTCTATTATTTTAAATAAGTACATTAAATATTTACAAACACATTATGGCTCAGCAATTGTTGTTGTATTTGACGGATATTCGGACTATACTAAAAATATTAAAGCACTGGAACAACAAAGAAGAACTGCTGCACTTTCAAAATCATATGAAGTTTGTTTTGACGAAACAATGGTTGTCCCAATCAGTCAAGAAAAATTTTTATCAAATCGGTCTAATAAAAAAAAAATTATCGACATGCTTGTTGAAAAATTTAAAACTGTTAATATCACAACAAAACAAGCCAGAGATGATGCTGATGTTCTCATCATTGACACAGCTATTGCCTTATCAGAACATCAAAAGACTGCTGTCATCATAGGAGAAGATATCGATTTGCTCGTTATTTTAATTGGACGTACTCAGTCACATCATCAGGAAATTTTTTTGAAAAAAATTGGCAAAGGCAATGTCAAAACACAAATATATTCTACTAAAAGTTTTGACCAATATCCTCGTACTAAAAAACACATTTTATTTTTACACGCATTCAGTGGCTGTGACACGACTTCTGCGCTATTTAAAAAAGAAAAAAACTGTTACTAGAGCATTGGAAAAAATTCCTGATTTAGATAAACTGGTGGAAGTATTTCAACAAGAAAACTGCCCAAAACAAACATTATTAGAAAATGGAGTGCGCATCTTGTTGGCATTATATAATGCTCCAAAATCTGAGGACAACATTGATCATTTCCGCTACACGCAATTCATCAAATTTACAAAACTAAATAAACCTGTACAACTGTCAACACTTCCACCAACAAGTGTAGCAGCTCATCAACACATAAGTCGTGTCTACTACCAGATTCAAACGTGGTTAGGGAAGGACTTAGAACCTCAAGAATGGGGCTGGATGCTTGAAAATGAAATCCAGGAACCCATGAATCAGAAAGGTATCAAAGTTGTAAAAAAGTGCCTTCCACGACAATTTTTAAACATTTTGAAGCTATGAACTCCTCATTAGAAAGATACAGAGTGTTTTCAAACGGTAATTACAAAACTAAAGGCCCTGGGAATATTAAAATGAGGAGTGATACGTTTTTTGTGATTTTGTGAGTGTCTTTTTATTACAAAAATAAGAAACAACTTGATAATGAGAACATGCCGTGCCGTTCCACATTGTATCGCACGTGCATTCATTTAAAACAAAGTACACATATACGCATCTTAAATTCGATTTTCATTAAACAATTCTTTTATTTACAATCAACAAAGAAACGAATTCTGTGCAGTGAGAAACAAAAACCCAAATCGGTAGAGCGTAAATAATTACAAATTATCATACCAACCGCTGTGGTAACAAGGAAAAAAAGAAATATAATTCTCATTCTTAAGGCACATTTGTCAGGAGCGCCCTAGACATTTTGAAAAGTCTACTTAATGTAAAACTAGAAAATACTTTTGTTTGCAGTCGAAAGTAATACGCCGGCGGCCCACCTCTCAGAGCAAACTCGCAACTGATTCGGGCAGTGGCATACATTGGAAATTTTGTTTGGTTCCTGCAATCAGCTAGAAAATAAACAAATGGTTAATAACTTCACATGCGCCCGAGCTATAGAATATTTACTTTTTTGTTAACGATGGCCATGCTCAATAATAGCCCGGATGGTGCTGTCATCGAGGTAATAAACGAATTATCAGTCGTGTTGTAGATGCAAATTTTACCATTGTAGCAGGCTACGAAAAGCACATTTCGCACGATTATCATATTGACAATTCCACTGCCTCTGCTCTCGCCGTGTTTGAGCAAAAGCTGACCATCCTAAATCAAAACATTTCAGATCCAACAACATCAGACAAATTTCATAGGAACTCACGTGAAAATTATAAACTAAAACATCGTCATGACTAGTACCACAATATACTCGATTGTGGAAAAGCACAATTGAATACACGGAATAGAGGTCTTCCCCGATTGTACGCAATTCAAGACAAGAAGACGCATCACGTATACTAATTGGAGCATTGCGCAACGCCACCACGAGCACGCGACGAGATCCATCCATGCTCCCTTTGATTGCAAGCACGGCGCTCTCAGATATTTTCTCTGGAGCCGTAATTCTGCCATTCTAAAATTAAACAAAACGTACAAATTGTTCGAAAAGAGTATTTATATTTAAATAATTAACATACCGCCAAGCTGAACCTGATTAGTTCGCCTTTCGAAGATCCTATAAACAGGCTCATCCACATCAACTCAAGGCACTGAATAGGAGTGCCCACGCTAATAACCCGTAACAACCTTCTGTCCCCGATGTCATACACATACAAGTTCTGATTCTGAGATCCGATGAAAAGTCGAGTGTTACTGCCATTTTCATAAACGTCCATCGCAGTGATCGCTTCATTGAGACATATTGTCTCGGTGAATATTGGAAACGCCGACTTCGTGTCAAAAAGGAAAAGTTTTCCTTTATCATTTCCAGCCACAATCAAATCTTTAACAATCTGCAATCAACATCATTTGAGATATTTGCAATCATCATAGGCAATGTGACCCACCTTAATAACTAAAATGGAATCCTTCCATCCGATGTAGTCAACAACACCATCGGAAGCCTCGGTATTTACCTGTAATCTTCCAACGTATGCAACAAATTTCTACGCCGGAAATCAATACGCGACTATTTGTACGACAGATATTTTGAACGCGAAATCAAACATTTAAAACTTGTGGAAAACAAAAACATTTATTGAATATTCTAAAAGTGTTGGGGAATAAAAAATTAGTTTATGTACAAAATACGTAACTGTCGTACAAAAACTCACGGCGTATGAAACACGTTGTAGAAATTACGCACGACCCACCTCATTGCCATACTCGCTATTGACCTCGACTTCCATGGTGCCAACATCGGACTCCTCAATTTTCACGTTGTTATTGCAAAAGGGTAGAAACGAGTCTGCAGATTTGTGCGATATATCTCTCTCATACGTTGTAAGCCTTCAATATCATATTTAATCAATTTAACATGCGGGTTCTTCACTGGGGACTCACCCATGCATTCATTATCACTGGGTTCCAGAAAATCAGTCGGCATTGTTTGCGAGATGTTCATGACGCCGCCAAGGTCGATTTGCATTTCTGTCGTTCCAGCTTCGGGCACTGAGTCAGAATCTTCGCCCAATTGCTCTTCTTCTGCCTCTTGAGCAACTACGGGTTCGTTAAACGGTGGCTTGTTCTGTGGCTCGGAGAACATCGAGAATATGTCCACATCCATTGAGGGCATGAGGAAGTTTGGCGGCGAGTCTGGATTCGGAATGTCTTCCGGATTATCATGAAGCACTTGCGTTAGAACTAGCTCATTAGGCGTATCGGAATTCAGCACCGGATTCAAGTGCTTCGAAGGCGTCGAATCACCTTCAGAAATTATTATGTACTTCACGGGTTTCTTCTTGCTGGGATTGTCACTGGAGTGCTGCGATGGTGAGTTTTGTGAGGTACCAGTTTCTGAAAGTCTTCTTTTCGCGTGCTCTTCGCCATGAGGCATGTCTTCTTCGCTCTCGGAAGTTGAGACAAATGCATGAAACTCTTTGTAAATATTGCGACGTTCGTCCAGCAACTTTCTCATTTCCCTATCGATGTTTTCCAATTTTGAAATGACAGCCCGCGAGTGCTTCTTGTACCTTTGATATCGTGCTCGTAACCTACCTAAAATCGTCTTATCTTTCTCTTCATGAGCTGATGTTATCGCTTGTTCGATGGTATTCTTTTTGGAAGTACTAAACGTGCTGGCCGATGATGCGCTATCCGTGTGTGATTTGGACTTGGGCAAAGATGTTTTATCAGATTTTGATTTGGACCTAGAAGTGCTTGATGTTTTCGCGTGTTTTGTGCTAGATGACGATTTACTTCGGCTGCGTTTATGTTTCTCTTTGTGTGAATGAGATGTGTCTGGCTTCGAAACAACCGCGGTGGATTTTTCGCCGCCATCTGCAACCGTCGTGACAGGCAAGTCTTCTGTTTGAATCCCCTCGGACACCTCATTTGGTTTGCTTTTATCGAGTTGATTCTCTGAAGCATCCTCAGTTGATGTAACATTTTTACAGTACATGTGCTCATTGACCAACTTACCCTGCTTGGCTTTGTAGGTCCCAGGTTTGCTTGTCGCTTCCAGTACAATGACAGGGGTACCATCAGGTTTCGTCACGGCCTTGTCCTTTGGGGATTCCGGCAAATTCGTATCACTCTTTTCAGTTATTGATTCTACTACTTCTCTAGTTGAGTCGTCAACAATTTGTTCAGTACATTCTACCTGGATTCTTTCCTCTTCACTATCTGAGAAACGCGGATCGTAATCTAATTCCTCCTCAGTACATTGTACATGTGTTTGCAAAGGCAGCGTCGGAGTTTTTACGGGTTCCGTTTCCATCTGCACACGCTCCTCTTCCATGCTACGAACGCTATCCCTTGTGTTAGATTCAATGAATCCATTATGTACATTAGATTGAGTTTTAGCCTCTGCATTTTTCAAAGCTAATCTTAAAACTTTAGCTTCCTCCTCAGCAATCTCCCTTAAAACACGCTCTTTCGATTTAAGAATTAAATTTCTATTCCAGTCGTCTTCATCTGAACTACCAAGATCAAACTTTTCTCGAAATAATATGTCATTTTCTTCACTGATACCATTTACATCAGTCTTAGAGACCTCATTTACAGTTTTGTCATTGTTAGGTACCGCATGTCTTTCATTTGTATCACCTTCTACGGGTTTAGATGTGTGCACAGTGCGATTAAAAACTTCGTGCGCTTCTTTAATAACTCGAATTTTACGAGATTCATTGTGTGGATTGTCAAAAGTAGGAGATGGTGATCGTTGCGGCACCGATGCAATTTGCGGGCCAATAATTAGAGGTGGAGGTGTTTTTTCATGACGCTTCACTTGTGAACGAAAATGTTTGCTTTCGCGTGTTGGACTTCGCTGGCTACGTTGGTTGTAAGGTCGGGTCGAGTGTGTTGGATGCGGCACTGGCTGTGGTGTCGTTCGCGTATTATTAAAGCTATGTCCGTTGTCGTTCGAAAGATCGCGCTTCAATTTAAATTTGTTTGGTCCACGCGATTCCGCGCGACCAGGTTTGATGTGATATTTATACGTCCGAATGTACTCGGGTTCCGGCTTTATATCAACACTAGTTGGAGACCGAGAGTCATCGTCAAAGTTGTTTTCTCGTGTATTAGATTCGGGATAGGTGTGCAAGGCATGATGTGGTGGCTCTTGTACAGCATCAAAACGACTTGATTCTTGTGAACTATTGTCGCAAATGTCATACTCAAACGGATCGTAAAACTCGTTTCCACCTGAATTCGAATTATCTACATTAAAACTCGAATCCTGGATGATTACGGGAGCATCCGTAGGCTCTGGCAGCGGTTCCAAATCACTGTTTAAAATGCTCGATATTATTGCAATACATTCATCAGGCAGCACGTTTAGCTGAACAGATATATCAGGTACAAGGGCATTGATATTATCACACTCGTCAATATTCCGCGTCTTATTATGCATATCCCTAATGTCACGCGATACCTTGAGCCTCTCCTGTCGCTTCAATTGTCGAACAATTTGAACAATCTCACGAACCCTTTCTTGCTGAGCGTGCAGCGCGGCTTTCTTCGCTTTCTTCTTACTTGCGCTGAGCTCAGCGGCCGTTGCATCCGCTTCCGCCTGAAGATAGCTGATCGCCGGGAGGATGTTTTCATTGGTGTCCTCTTTCATTTGGCAATCCATTGAATTTCGCGAAGGAAGGACCAGCTCAGCGTCGGGACATTCCTCCATTTGTTTCAGTAAAGAGCCAGATGTTTGTTTGATCTTCTCCTGGAACAACTCTTCAGTGGTAGGCAGGGGCTTTGTGGGCGGCGGTGGTACGGGTTTTGGCAATGCGCCTGGCGGCAACTCCTGAGATTGCCCTAATGGGCGCCGGGGCTTGTTCCAGTCTCGGATATGTGTCGTCTTGTGCCAACCAGCAGCGCTTCTTTGGAACAATGGTTTTCTATCAATAAATTATTTTCTAGGTAACTTAAAATATAAATAACTAAAGAGTATCTAATACAATTTATAATATGAAGAGTTTTCATTTGAATAAAGAAATAATAAATGACAGAAAATTACCTCTTTTGATTCTCTAACCAGGAACCTGATTCATAATGTGATTTAAACGAACCCTCACGCTCGCCGCGATTATACCGTCTGTTTTGATGGTGGCCACGATATTGTCCCTGATGATGTCGTGGATCGTCCCTGTTCATCTTTAGGGAGGTTGTTAAATAATTTAGAGGTTATGTTTGGTATTTTCAGCTGAGAAGCTACAAAAATGCATCAACAACAACAAATCACAAAAGCAATTTCCAAGCACAACTTACCACCTAGAATAATCCATACAAGCAATGCACTTCCATTATTATAAAACGCTATAAACACTACATGAAACCTCAATATTTACATTTAGATTTCCACTGATTGGATTGATTTATCAAGCTCTGCTACTTTGTTTATCCCATTATGCAATTTACTTCTTGCAAACGTTGAAACAAAATCAAAATCTATCGAGTATCTGCAAAACACGTGATATAATCGTTAATTTATCAAATGCTGAATGTTTCTAGAAGAAGTCAGGTTTAAAGGTAAATAATAAAGGCGAGTTGACTATAACCTAACGAGAGCATCCTGTGCGCTAGAAACCAATTTGCCGATGAACTTACCGTTAAATTTAAAAACAAAAACGACGCGTATACCAAATGCAATCACTGTTGCACATTAGATTTATCGAAGTTCAAGCAGTCTCACTTATTCCTCGATTTATTTTATATCACGCGAGAGATAGAATATCATCCTCATCATCACTAAATACGATAACCACCTTCACTCCCGGTCGCAGTGCATGCCGAGAGAAATACAACATCCGAGTGTGCGTTAGATAAGCGGAGAAAGCGATACATACGAAATCGCGTCTTCCTTGCATGCAGAGCCTGCGCGATATCGGTGTTTCGTGTGTTAGAACGAGCGGGACTTTTAAATCTTTGTCTGTCTATCACAAGGTTTGTCCTTGGGCTTGCCCTGATCACAGTACTTTTCATAAACTAGTGGTACTCGTGGTGTGGAAAAGTGGTACGCCTGCTGTATTGAGCTCATTGAACCAAAACTAACTGGAGATTACTACGACACGTTGGTTAGACTTACGAACAGCAGAGGGAAAGAGAATTTGCGTCCATATCGGAGTATAAGTATACATGATGCTCAGTAGATGGCGCTATAGGTATTGAAATAAATATTTTTAGTGATAAAATGATGTCGATTGTTTCTCACAAGCGCACAGTTTACATATCAGTGTTTGAATATTATCAGTATATCAATGCATATTTTGAAATTATCTTTAAATAACTATATTCCAATGTTATTATTTATTTATTTACGACAACTTAATAAAAACCAAATCAAATCTTATTGCTTATATATTTAGTTTTATTAAATAAACATTTAATATATAAAACTTGGGGAAATATTGTTCAAAATTATCTGTTTTGTTAAAAATTACGACATGTTAATTAAGTACTCAATTCTAATAGTTTACTAATACTTTATTTACACTGCGATATATCAAGTTGTTTTTATTGTTTTTTTATTAGTAAAGAAAAACATCCAATAAAGTAAACATAACATACAGAATACTAAAGGTCATAAATCAAAAACGTGGTGCTTTAATTAAGACAAATAATATGCTTTCATCGTGCGGGAGAAGCGGTTGTGCAAAACTATCGAGATGATTAATTCCAAGGGATAACCCAAAGAAGGAGTACCACTCCGTTGTCGGGGATCACAAGAAGCATATTACAGCAAGAAGCTAAATGTTCTTCCATCTTCATAGCCAGGAAACAATTATATCGTTCATCTTAGGAATTGATTAAATGCTCTCACAGACCATTGGTTAATTGCCAAAATACAAATAGGGATTTTCGTATTGCGTGTGTGAAAAGGATTCTACGTTTATTTAAGAACACATAATCACTAATAACAAACGAATAATAAATATAACACAAACATTTTATAAATAAAAATAAAATGTTAACATGATTTTTCTCTAATAGATTATTTCTAGATTTAGTGTTAAACATCACAGTAGTAAAAATTATTGTAGTCTACCTATATTTAGAGATTAATATTAGTATTATATACTGTTGTGTTTGTGGCATACAAGATACAGACACAGGACAAGGATGTTGGCGTTGTTTCTTATCATTAGCTCGCGGCCGTTCTGAAGTTAGTTGTGTTGTTGATGATGCCCGAGCGAGGAGGACGTGGGTCTTGGGATGTAGCTACCTTTTACCGGTTATTATCGCGAGAAGACCGCCACTCGCTGCCACCAGCCACAAGGCAATAATTAACATAAGATCACAAGTTATTCTCAGTCACTCATGTAGTCCTGCTTTCACTTATCATCTACAACAATGTTTTGACCTAAAACAAACAGATTTTAGTAAATTACTGCTTCGTTCAGTTACGTATTGCTGTATTTCACTTGTTTTTTAAACCAAAAGATTTAAACTAGCTTAAATAGTACGAGTGTCCGGTGCTAGGTGCCGTCCGGCGTTACGGGACTTCTACACACTTAAAACTTACCAAACAACATTTTTAAAGCAGTTAATTTAAAAATAAATATAAATTAAGTATTATGGTTATTAGGTTAAGTTAACATAACCTAATCTCATCAAAAAATATAAAAAAAGTAGCCATATTTGGACCATTTTTATATTTTTTGATTTATAGAGCCACATAGGTATAAACTGTCAATAAAAATTAAGGAGCGGAAAAATAACTCACAAGGCTTACCAACAAAATGATATTTGTTTTTGGTCCAAATTAACCTAACCTAACTTAAAAAGTTGATAAATACAGAATTTAAATTTTTTAAAGTAAAAAACCAATATTAATAACCCTTAATAATAGCTAACAAGTCATGTGTATCGTCTTGGCTTCCCCATTCCCACCCTCAAGTCTGGTGGTTGTTCAAATCGATTGCGCTTCTATTAAGTCACGATACTCGATGTGGCGATGCAGCAGCGGCCCTCGAGTAATATTGTAATTATGATATTAATATCGGTCGCCGGCGAAGGGCAGTGATGATGGAACGCGAGGAGTGGAAGTAAAGACGCAAGGGCGCCGAGTCCAGCGTCGAGTTTAAGACGTCCCAGCATACTCTCCGGTAGCCGGTGATAAGTGGCCAGAGGGGTCGCGCTATTCGGACCGGCGACGCGACGCTTGTGCACACGAATCGAGCATTGCTAACTGCGAGAATCTAGAAACTTTCCCTCCGAACAAAGTTATGATCGAAATTATTCACTACATAGTTGTTCCGATCTGAGACCACTTGACGTGCATAGTTGAAATCGCTCCAACAAGTGTAGGATATAAATATCAAGTTCCTATGTTATATTACTACACAAATCAATGAGAAGATATAAAAAAAAAAACTTGAGCGGTGAATTTATGACTAATATTTGAAACTTCAAGTTTAGCTGATGCGAAGCAATTAAGCGTAAGGAGGTTGCATAAGATGCGCGAGTCGACGCGGTAGGAAACCGTCGAAGTGCTCCCCGAGGATGCACGGCATGCTTCTCGCTAATCTACAAGACTCCTGGGTCCTAGTGGCAGCGTCGTGTTATTGCCGGTAATTTATTCATGGCCGCTTGGCTCGCCGGGGTCTTCTTCCTATATCTTTGTTCGTTTACGACAACTCCAATGACGACTCCGTATCCGCCTGCAAAGAGATTTCAACTTGGATTAACTTGATGCAAACTCGAAGGACATTCACAGTCATAATCGCGTCGAGTATTCTTCCCATTGCAAAGTTCGTGTGGGAAAGCGTTGGCAATCTCAACCGGCGGAGACGTTTTATAGCGGTTTTCCTCGTATTCCGGGTTGGCACAAGTTTTGGGACCGCGCGCGAGTCGTTACGCGACTCGGAGACTATGCTCATCTTCAAATTGCTTTCATGCCAAAATGGTCAATCTTATTGCCAACCTAGTGTTAACCTACTGCCAACTGGTTACTGGTCACTGCGGAAAGAATAAAAATATTCAATAAAACCACATTTTTAGAGCAATTTCACTTTTTTTAACCTAAAAATCGTTTTTATAAATAAATACAAAAAACTTATAAATAATTTATTTAAACACCCTGTATCCAAGAGAAAAGATATGATTTTGTTGGCAACCACAGTCGTGGGCAATAAACTTGCGTGCTCTTCCATATCCTTGGGTTCAGGACGTCAGAGAAGGCAAAGCACTTCGTTGTTATCACATATCGCGAAAGCGCACCGCAAAACGGGGACGTATACGATTGCTCATAAACTTAATCGTCATCTTAGCAACCATCATTGTCTGATAACGAGCTGAGCAGTTATTCTCAACGACCAGCAATCTTAACAAGGCGATTTGTCCACAATTATGAATACATGAATAAATTTTAAAAAAGGAAGCCATTTTATTTTCTATTGATGGTAGTAGGGGAAGGGGGGGCAAAGTGGGCCCCTGGGGGCAAAGTGGGCTCCCTGAAATTCAGGAGGCTTAAAAAATTGAGGGGCAAAGAGGGCCCCCTAAAATTTTGGATAAATAAGATGAAGTTGCAAGAACAACTTATACACAACAAATTCGAAGGAAGATATGAAAAAAGAAAATAATATAGGCAAAAAATTGATACAAAGGTAATAGCAAAATTTTTATGGGTGGGGGTCCACTTTGCCCCATATTCTGAATTTTTTTTTATTTTGATAGACACGGCTTATTAATATTAAATACTGAACTAGGATGTAAAAAATAGTGTAACGAGTGAAAAAGGTAAACAAATTCCATTTTTTCGCTTTTGGGGCCCACTTAGCCCCCTTTCCCCTAACACTAACAGGACTATTAGGAACTGTTTCTAGATAGTAAACCAACCGGAAATAGGTATTGAAAAGGATGTCTTGCGACTTGTGCGAATTACGTCGTTCGCTGGTCAAAGCATAAAACATCAAAGTGACGAGAGGCCGAGCTTGGGCAGCTACCACAATCCGTCTTGGTTTATCTTCAATCTTAGAAAAGCCCACACCACACACCACTTCGGGAGTAAAGGAAGGGGACCCTTCTATTCTATATCTTGCCTGCTGCTCCTTTGCTTCTTAGTTCATTCGTTGTGCTTAATCCTTGGTTATTTTTTCATGTTTCAAGATTGAACCGCTTATGATAGAGAAACCTTACGTTGTATGCAGAGGATTAGTTAGTTCATTATTAGGCACAAATTGTTCTTAGTCAGCTATTAAGTTATCTAATAAATCTTTAGATGCATACTTTGATTGTTAAAATATGAAAAAAACGAAGAATGTTTGGGGAAATGTAATAAAAGTCATAGAAAAGTTGTTTCCATTTCAAGAACTGAATTATTACCGAATTTGCTTGAGAAAACAACGCGTTTCGACGTTCGATACGCGAATGCGCTGCTTGAATATAAGTTTTATGGCTTTCTTTTATGGAGGGTAATATTTCCAATACATAAAACCCCTTTCTTTTGGCAAACGATGAATATCTAGCTTCTAGCTTGAGCTTTCGAGGGGTTGTTGTTCGATTCCAACAGGGGTCGACTGGGCGGAGGAGACGGAAGCAAAACGAGGGCTGATGCCGGAATGAATGCCAACCCCCCGTTAAAAAAATACTCCATTGGCAATTGCTTCAGAAACTCAATTCTAACATCCAAACAACAAAAAAATCAGCAATTTTTATTTAATTTTTCAAATCAATTACTAAACTGATAGTTTAATTAATATTCTAGCGGCCTAAATAGATAGTATGTTAATGTTAACAAATTTTGTTGTATATTTACGACGGGCCTTCAATTCCGAACTGAAACTGACCGACGGAAATCTCCTCTAGTCGCCTCTCGGCTGAAGTTTGCGAAGCAACTTACTTGCAAGTTTCCAAGTGCTAAGCTTGCACAGCTCGCGCGCCCGAAAGCTCACAGGTAAGCCGCCGGAGCTCGTCGTCATGG